CCCCCCCCGCCCCCTCCAATTCCTTTAGCTGTTCACACGTTCCGAGCTCTCCACACTTCTCGCTGAAAGAGTGCTGGTCGCGGATGCCGCTGTCATCCCCCCAAGAGGTAAAGGTGGGCACAATCCAACGCTCCAGCACGAACAGACCGCCGATGTTAACAGCCCGGATGGGCGCTTTGAGCTGGTCGTACCATGGGGCAGTTCTCCTGGGACGGTTGGGGGCGTCGTGTTTTTTCCGGGGGGGGGGGGAGTGTACTCATATTTTGCATGTCTTAGTTGTAAGTCATTGACTGGCCGGCCATGGAACCAGGGAGACGTAGGCCGCCACTTTTGATTGTTGTTGTTGTTGTGGTATTCACACACAAAAACGGCCCGATCTCTGCTCAAAACCTTCAAACAATCATCGGATAGCAGATTGGTCCAACTAACGTGGACGCCTTTCGTGGTCACGGGTTCACAACCCCCCGAAAGGGTGTGTATATGTAGCACGAAAAACCATGGAGAACTCAAAGGGCCCAGAAAAATCGGTGGTCACCGCTACGTCACAAGTTTATCGTCCAACGAGCCGGTGCTACATTCAAGCGGCGAGTATGGTACCGAATTTTAGCCAAACCGAGAAAAGCAGTCCGGGCAAAGATTTCGCTTTATGGTGTTCTGCTCTTCGGCCTTCATTTCTTAGTATTCCGATCACGGCATTTAAGATAACAAAAACAGGGACTCACTTATGACCTATAAACGGACTAAGGCACTTCAAGCCAACCAATAAACGGAGTAACTCACCAGGGCTCTTCCCTTCCGCACGTGAGGACCGTCAGCCCGTCGAAGTCGCAGGCCGCCGCGGTTTTCCTGTGGCGATAACCATAACACGTCACCCCCCGAAGAGAAGGAGAGGGCACAAGAGGACAAGAGGGTGGGGGAGGCTGTAAGTCATGGCAACATCGGTTCGGTTCTAGAGGGCACAAGAGAAGAAGGTAGGGGAGGCTGTAAAGGTGGGGGAGGCTGTGCTTCACAGCAGAAATCGTTTTGGTTCTCTATCCTGCATGAGGGTGCGCGGCGGGACCATCGCCGCAAGAAAAGGGCTGACACGTGTGGAAACGTGTGTAGTAGGTGGTACACCCTCTCCATCGCTACTTCCAGGTTCAAGGGGGGGGGGGGGGGGGGTGTACTCATAGTCGTGCATGCCGTAGTCGTTTGACCATTGACCTCGCATCCCTACAAAGCCGGGACGGAGCACGCCGGGTTCTCACCGGACCAGGCTCTCACATCACCAAGCGCGAAGCGCCGTGAGGTATTCGGCGAGTCGCATGAAGGGTGCGCTGCATCCTGCTAAGGGTGTTCGGCATCTTGTGCTTACTTCCTTGCGTACGAATGACAGCTGCGTATGACTTAATTTATTTTCTGGTGCGTTGACTTCCAGAGACAATTGTAAGCTCTGTGTAACTGCCTCGAGGGTGTTTGACCAATTTAACACAACGTGCGATTATAGCATAATCTACTCGACCACCATTTATGGTTACCGCAAAAAAAATCAAAGGCAAAAAAAAAAAAAAGCGGTAACCTGGTCGCCGAGCTCACGAAGTGAATCGGCTTGTTTTACAACATCGCTGCCAAGCGACGAAAACCCAACCCCGATGGCAAACACCGAGGAAGGGACCAGGTTCAAGGGGGGGGGTTATTCGCAGATGAATGCCTCGGCCACCGTGGCATACATACTCTTGTCCTACGACAGGAAATCTCAAGCCAAACGATTACTTTTTCCACGGCGAACCTCTCCAGTAATAGTTACCGCCAACATTTTACGATGCTGCTGACCAAAAGCCGAGGCACATGCGCAAGAAGGACGCGTGACCATTGTGCCTCGGTTGTTCAATAGACCATCCCCCCAACAGCGGCCTCCTACCGCTTACCAGATAAAACGTCAGACTGCCGCAAAGAAAGCAAGGCTACTACTAAAAAAGACAAGGCAGGGGGCACGCAGACCCTAACCGTACCTCCAACTTAGCCTACTCCATACTTTATCCAGGGTGTTTGCGTACTTCCTAATACGTACCCGATGGTGGTGTTGTAGACAGCATCGACGAAGTTACCGTAGGCCTTCAGCGCGACGGACGGCTGGGTCTTGGTCAGGTTGGCGATGTCGGCGGCGTTAGACACCCCCCAATCGGCAGGCATGTTGCCGCAATCTGCGCAAATGATTCCACGCGTATCAAAAACGGACCATCGGTACTTTGCGTAGCTTTGCTGCTCTTGTGGCGCCAGTCGTCGGGGGTATCGCACGGGGGTCCCACAGCTGGCGCACGCGCGGGTAGCTATGCTTGCGCAGTTACTCGTCGACAACACACCGGCTGAACTCATGAATACGTAGCCCCCCCGGGGCGGGGGCGGGGGGGGTGTTGTCTGGGGCATGAACCTCATGCGGGTGTGCGACGACCCACGGACGGCTTCCCGCAGGAGAACCGTCTCTCGATCATAGGTGTGGCCTCGGGTGAATCCTACCACTGTAGACCGAGAAATTCGAACACATTTTTCTTATTGGTCCCGCCATACAACAGACACCGCGAAACTTGACCCATCGCACACACACGACCTCAACCGCAATGAGACTGACAATCTTTCATTCTTCAGCCGGTTAGCGATATCGATGCGAATAAAAAAGTACACACACGGACAGCTGCCGAGCGAGGGCCAGTCGAAACTCCCACAACTTTACTCCGGCCGCAAGCTATTTAGTCTCCCGTTGTCTCACCGTAGGTGTGGCCATCGGGAGGCTGGACGACGAAAACGCCGCGGTTCCGTCCGCAGGCCGAACCCCAGGTGCCCTGGATGTCCGGGATGAAGAAGGGAAGGTCCTTCTCCGTGAGCTTAGGGTCGAGCTTGCAACGGAAGCTCCCCGGGTCCATACCGGCGTTACCGTGGTTGCCTGGGGATTGGTCCTGTTTATTTTTTGTGGTCGACGGAGAGCAAGAACAACAGCAGTATTTAGTCGTTAATGTCTTTTCTTCGCGAATCAATGACCGAGGACGAAGAACAGCACTAGCCGGTTCAAGGAAGGAAAATGTTACACCACCATACACGGGCCTCTTCGAATTATATGAGCGGGCCGGCCGGCATTGCTGTTGTATGACTTCCCCCACACCAACCAAATACAAAGTAAAATAAAACGCGCAACGAATATTTCCGTCTGTACTTAACGTTGGATGTTTTCGAGAGTTCTGAATCGCGAGAAACATACAACGGTTGTAAGGTAGATAGTCCACGTGCTGTAAGATGCAAGCAATCCCCCTAGCACACCATAGCGATTTGTCGTCTCGTCCGCTGTAGCACGTTGAGTTGGCTGGGCTTGGCGAAATCCTGACAACAACCACATACAAAGCCCCTTCCCGACGAAGAACGCGTGATAATCAAGGTACAGCTGTAAAAGTGCGGGCGAACTGACAGGTATGCGATCCGTTCTGAAAGGGAAACGAATACAAATGGGTATACTCACCCATCTCTCGGACAACAGCGGGTAGCACTCGAAAATTGCTTCGCGGACATCACTCGTGAGAGGGCCGAACCGCTCAAAATCTCATTGATGCCGGGACCACACATGGTAAGGGCCCATGCACAGCACGAACATCTACACGTTTAGCGAACTTTCGGGCACGTATTCAGCCCACACACCGCCGCGGCGCTCAAAGGACTCACTAGGTTGCCCGATAATTTGTCCGAGACTCTGGCGGGTACTTCCCTGGCACTGTACTTGTGTGCCTGATACACGTTCTTTTTTCACTTGTACCCGCTATTGTCCACTTCTTTCATTCGAAAAGTTCAGCCGTGCGGTGACGGGGGGATTGATTTCCACAGAGGCCCGAACAAGACAAGAATGGACAACAAGGAGAATTCGTCGGCTACTCTGTACATGAAAAAAATACTTAAGATGTCCGTTGGTACGTATGCCCATCGGAAATTCGGACAAAATTGGGCAACCTTTGTTGAGACCTTGTGTGTGTGGGCAAAGACGTGCCCGAAAGTTTGTTCAAGATGTTCGCGCTGTGCATGGGCCCTGAGCACGTTGTCCAGGCTACAGAATAAAAACTTTGAGTGGTTCGGCCCCCTCACGAGTGGTCTCCGAGAAGCAAAATTCCCGAGTACAGCAGTACCCAGTTTTCTTGTCCTATTCCCACTTTGAAAGCTTGATTGGTTCATGACCAGGGGGCTGGCTACATACGGTGCCGGCACCATGGTGGTTTGGGAAAGATCTCGCCGAAAGTTGTCCTCGTACACACGCCCGTTGGGTTTCGATAGCATCCTCTTGGTTGTGGATCGATCAATCTCACGAAATCTGTCACACGCTTAGTGCATTCGCCCGCTCTCTTAACCCTTACGTGACTACACCCCCGAATCGGGCATGTTAGCAGGCACGATAACTCTTATATGCGACAACTTTCGAACCGAATTGAGCTGTGGATACCTGCGTCGACGACGGCTCGACGGTACGACTAGACCGCTCGAAAAGAAACAAAGTAACGACCGGGGACAGAAACAGCACGTCCCCTATACAGAAAATTGAAAGCCTGGGAGTTGCAATGCTCCGCAGCACCCTGCATCCCGCGCTGCTGCTGTGCTGCTGTGGACCTCAGTCCAGCACGCAGAAACGCGATAATGATGCTGTTTTTCCTCCTGCTTGTTGCGATTTTTCGCACGAGCGCTATGGACGGGGTTCCTGTGTATCACGTTCGCAAGGAACAGGAGCTAGCTCCCCAGCCGGCTGCGTTGGGCCAACGGGTACAGCAGCACATCGATGGATCTGCGTCGCGCATCATTTGCAGCACAGAATTGACAAGAGGTGGGAGGGTTATGGTCTTGCCCGACCGCGCTGGTGTGTATACCGTAAAGCCGGATGGCCACTGCGGGTTTAGTGCGATGTCCGCGGGTCTGCAGGTTTGCCTCGGTAGAACAAGGGCCGCCCCCACCCCCAGAGAACATGAGGAGCGTGGTCGCCCGTCGAGCCACGGAACATGTTCTTGGCGCATCCGGTGTTGAGGACTTGACAGCTGTACTCTCACCAGACCAGCTTGGGCGGGCCCGGAGTGTGCGTATACCGGATGTTTTAGGAGCTGCCGTGGAAGAAATGACGGCGCCGGAGGATAAGACGGTCGGTTGGTTTCGCGAGAAAGCCCAGCTAAGTGCAACAACAAAATGGATTGACGTGACCTGGTTCTCTTTTCTGGCGTCGGAGTACGGGGTGAACATCATGTTGTGGGAGCCAAGCCCCACGTACGGCACAGTTCAGCCGTACTCAGCAGCCCTCACGGCAGGCATGTTCTTGTTCGAGAAAAAAGACAAAATGGACGAGGAGGGGGATCGCTGGGTGCATCTGCTCTATCGGAAACACGACGATCCGTGGGCAGCGCGCGAGGGTGTAGGTGAGGCAGGCCATAAACAGCACAACCACTTCGACCGTCTGCAGCTTGGACTCAACGTACATACTTCCTTCATCGATGTCGTCAGAGTTGCAAAGGAGAAAGCGCTAGGAATGGCGGCGCCGGTGCCGTCGGCGAGCGCCACGGCCGGGAAGAAAGCGCCAGGGTCCGCAAAGGTGGACGGAGAAGAGGTGGACGATCCCGAGTTCAGCATGAGACCAAGCGGCAGCAACAGCAACAACAGCAGCAGCAGCAGCCGGCAAGCGGAGGGAAAGGCTGCAGCGGGAAAGAAAAGCAAGGCGAAGATCGGGAGTAAGGTCGGGGTGAAGCGACCAACCGAGAGGCAGCCAGGGGACAGCAAGAGGCACAAGGCGGGGGGTGCACCGGGGAAGCAGCGCAAGGCGGTTGGTGTGCCGGGGAAGCGCAAGGCGGGGGGTGCACCAGGGGAGGGGGAGGGGTGCCGCAAAGAAATGCAAGAGTACGCCGACGGGTAGGAGGAAATCGGTGAAGAGCAACGGCCAAGTAGACGAAGCCAACTATGATTCCGACGGCAGCATCGGGGGGGGGGACCACGAGCGAACCCAGGGCTCCTTCGCTAGCATGTCGCAGAACGAGAAGAAGGTGGTGGCCGCCATGAAGAAGATCCAGGAGCTCAAGTACAAGGCGGGCGTACTTGCTGAGCAACAAGAGGAGGGCGCGGGGTCTAAAGGTGGGTTTGTGTTCGTGTAGACTTTTCTCTTGGCATTTTCCAGGCGAATAGGCGGACCTAAGAGAAGACGACGATTTATGGTGGTGCAAAAGTTGAGTCCGATAAATAGTGCGAATCAATACTGCTGTAGCAGTTTCTTACGTTTTTTTTTTCGCTTGGAATACCGAGTAGAGAGTGCCCTATCAACGCTGAACAAACGCGTGTCTAGGTAGGCACTTTGTTTCGCCTCGTGTGGTCGCTAGTCTCTACCAAAAATAATCTTAGAAGTGTTGGTAAAAAGCACCTGGTTGCTTGCATGATCATGTTGACGCCTCCGTGCCTGGCTCCTGTTGCTCAACACGGGTGTGGTTTCCAATGTTGGCAGGGGGGCAACGAATGTCGAGTTCACGATTCGGAGTATGTAAATGCATGTGCGTGACCTGAACACCCTACTGGCCCTGTATGGTGTTACTTTTGATCGCCGTGTCAGTTTCATGTGAATCTCTCGCTCGCTCGATTCGTAGGTGTTAGTGACACCGTCGCCTCGTACGACTTTATTTTTTTTCGGATGATTGAACACAACACGGCAGGGTATGAATTGACACACCTGCCGCTCTGTTTCCGCTGTTTGCCGACGACGTGCTCAACCCAGCTCAAGGCCATACGCGACAGGGAGAAGGAGAGGCTCAAGAAAGCGGCAGAAAAGGAAAAAAAAAAACAGCTTCGGCCGCGGCAGGAGGTGGAGGAGGAGGAGCGACAAGAGAGAGAGGAGCTAGAGAAGCAGCAGCAGCAGGAGCAGGAGGAGTTGAAAGCTGAGGCGGAGGAGTACCCGGAGGTGGCGTGGACTGACCGCGGCATTCCTGACTTTGCGGGAACGACGGACCACAAGAAGAGAACCCGGCGGCAAGCGGTCAGCGCTGCTTCGCTGTCGGCGTCCGCGCGATCGAAGTTGCCCTCTCTCGATACCTTCATGGGCGGCCGCGACGAGAACGGAGAGTTCCCGCTGAGTGGTTTGATGAAGACGTGCTTCAACATGATGTTCCCCGACAAGGCAGTAGATCTTTTCGTGCAAAAGGAGAGCATTGGTGTTTTCGTGTGGTCGCATTCCTTATTAAGTTGCACTCGAACAACTCACTAGGGGGGTTGCACGCAAGTAAGAGACCGAGCCGTTATGCGTCGGACTTGAAAGTAGTTCCGCGGGAAGGGGGGGAGGGGGGGGGGCGGGATGAATTGTATGCCCTTTGTTGGTGTTTACACTGCATGATGTCGTCTGCATGCCTTGGTCGCCTAATCATACTGGCCGAATGTAGGTCACAGCTCATCAAGATTGTCAAACACACGGGGGTTTATGCGGTGTTCATGCATACTTCCCTCCTGACGTGCTACGTACCAGCGTATGGTGCATGGGGTGGTTTGCAAGGGCGGATGCAATACCGCGGAATGTACTCCCGGTAGAGAAGCACCCTCCCCCCCCCCTATCCAGCGCGCGGGATCCCTGTTATGTATGTTGTAATTTGATTACCGATATCCACCCGACCAACCCAACAATTGAAAGCGGGTACTAGGTAGATGCCTGAGAACACAGTCTGTTGTGGCCCCTTGCGGTATTGCTTACGTTCCAAGACACCCGCGGAAGGCGTATGCGGATTAATTTAATCAAACATGTCTGTGCTGCCACGGCTTGCATCAACAATCATTGTGTATATATACGACACCTCGGCGCGACCTCTGGGGCGAATATGCTAATCTTCGCTCCGTCTTGTTGTCCCTGACCTCTTCCGCGCGAAACGTGATACTTTTCCAGACC